TCATTGAAATCATCGATTGATAGTTGATTGGTTGTTTCGATGTGTTGCCGGAGCCGATGGATATCTTCTAATGGGACGTTTTCGATTCTGAGTGGTTTTCTCCGGACTATTTCAACTTGGGTGGAACCGTTCATAATTTTTGGTAATACGAGGGGACTACCAAAACTTGTAGCCTGGTTGTTTTCGAATTTGACTGACTGGTATTCGACGCTGCAATTCAGTGGAATCTGAAGTAAAATGTTGCCTTGTACGGTGAGGAATTGTTCTTCGGGGCATTGAGTTTTAATCTTTATTTCTTCACGGCTGATGATCAATAAATACTCTTCATTTACTTTATTGAATATCAATAATGGAATTTCTACTGGTATTTGTAGACATCGGGATCTCTTGTCTTGGATGAGGGCGGAAATGCAGTCTTCAACAGGGTGGAACTTGAATTCTTCTTGCTCGCAAAGGAAGGTGTCCTCGACTTTCATACAGATATGGTCCATGTACTGATAGTTTTCTTGTTCGAGAGCCAAATAAGGTTTATTTGGGATAATTGAGGTTTGATTATTGGTTGGAATTGGAAATAAATGAAAATATTGAAAGGTTTTCGGATGAATTATTGGAATTTTTATGGCAAAAATGATCTTAGCCCTAGTGAAGTAACAGTTTGTGTGCATAATAGAATACCAAGTGTGATAATTAACTTCTAGTATCGTATTGTGATCATTATGAAATCTCAATTCAGTTAGTATGTTTTTCAAGTTTTGAAATGGCAATATATCTGGATGAATAATATAAAGTTTTGCAAAAGTAATGGCATTTTTTATGTTGTCCAAGAGAGTAACGAATATATTGGTATTCAGAAATATTTGATCCAACATATTTGTATAAACTGCATATTTTGAGAACTGGTCTGAAATGTTTTCTAAAGAAGCTTTGTTATCAGAAATATACTTGGAAATCTTCTTCTGATTATTAGTAATTGTTTCCATATCTTTCGAATATTGGCCGATTAATTGTTTGGATAATGAAATTTGCATATTGACATCCTTGACGATTTTTTGTTGATTTTCTTTCAAAGTTGTGATAGCACGATCGTATCTTTCGCCGTCTGAAGAATCGAGTGTACCGAAAAGAAACTTTTGTACTGTTCCTCCTGCATTGATCAATCCTCTTCTATTTTTGGAATATACTGGGTAATATATATTATTGAATTTATTTTTGACTTCGTTGATAATAGGTTCCAAATTTTCATAGGTATTCTTCAAGGTATAAAAATATCTAGATTGGTTACCAGTGAGATATCTGAGGTTTCGATAGCTTTCAATTAATTTGTTAATTTCGTTTCCTATGATTTTCAGATCAATTTCATTGATAAATACATGTTTATTGGTTATAATTTTAGATTGGCCTAATTTAAATGGAAGAATTCCGGGTGAGTTGGTGATTTGTTTCAGTTTAATCTCGTGAGCTTGGACCAGCACGGTCATCAGCTGAAGGAGTATCAGTCTCTTCATTTTGAGCCTGTAACAAAACGGGTTTTCTTAGTTCTTTAATGTGGATGGTTTCTGTCTTGCCTTTCTTATTCTTTATTTCGACTTTATTGTGCTCTAACATTCTAGTTATAGTATATGGTCCTAAAAATTTATTATTTCTTTTATTTCTGTTGAACGGATTTTTCTTATACACCTTCTGATTTAATTTGAATTCGTCGTTAGCATCGCCTTTGATATTTGATTTGGATATGATGGTTTCTTTTCGAGTTTGAAGCTTTTCTTTCACTTTGTCATATACTGGGTGAATTTTTTGTTTGTGATCTTGAATATATGCGGAAAATACTTCTTTAGGTACAAAAATTTCGTCTGCGCTTCTAGAGTCGGTATGTCCAAAAACAAGTTCGAATGGGGTGAATCCTGTTGTGCTATGAATTGAACTATTGTAACCTAATGTGGCATAATTGATCAAGTCTGATTCGTTTGGGTAGATTTCTTTCAATATTCTTAGTTGCTCTATTAATGTCGAATGAAATCTTTCCACGATTCCGTTAGCTTCGTGATGTCCTGGGGTAGTGAAATGTATTTTTACTTTATGAAGGTTCAATAGTTCTTGAACAGTCTCATTATTAAATTCTTTTCCACTATCTACTATGATTTTTTGTGGAGTACCAAAACATGTGAAATATTTGAATAATGCATTGCATATGTTAATAGCAGTTTTTCCAGGAATTATAAGAGCTTGACCGAATTCTGAGAAGGCATCTATCAGGGTAAAATATATTTTGGAATCGAAAAAGAATGAATCGATATGAACTGTTTGAAAAGGTTTTGATGGAGTTTCAGTTAGAACAAGTGGCACATATGGATTTTGTCGAGCATATTTTGTTCTCTGACAAATTTCACTTGAATTAATGAACTGTGTTACCGTCGATTTCATATTTGTCCAATAGTAGTTTCTTTTCAAGTATTGGGTCGTTTCCTCGATACCTCGATGGTTCGTCTTCCCTTCATGATGATTTTTTATCATTAGAATCTGTTCTTCTTGATTTTTTATAGTATTGACTAATTTTGTGCAACGAACTAATTTCAATATTTTTCTATCAAAATTTTCTGAATAGACGTTGTTGAAAATTGGGATGAACTCTTTCTTGTCGAAGTATAAATAATAATTAGTATCTGGTTTCAAATATTCTGTCATGAAATCAAAAATCATTCTTTCATTATTGTGTAATGGTAGTTTAACAGTTATTATTTTGTGATTTCCATAGGTCTCATGTAGGAGTGAAATTTTATCATGATTATGAGCGAAAACAAGAATTTGTTATATTTTGTTGTTGATAATTTCATCTAGGATGGGAATTCCATCGTTGGCCACTTCTTTCGATAGGGAATGTGGTGTTTGATCGGTTGTGTCTTCGGGTGGTTTCAATTGTATATCTGACTGAATTAAAATTTTAGGTTCCTGATTTGTTTGATTTTTAGCTTCGTATGTTTCCGGGTTTTCTGCACGATTTCTCAGGAATTCTGAGGATTCTCTATTTATATCACCTGGATAATTAATTACTGATTCCGATTCATGAACGTTAAGTTGTATTCTTGACAAGGCGTCCGCATTCGAATTTAAGGTTCCTTTTTTATATACAATTTTATAATCATACTCTTCCAATTTCAAGCGCCAGCGGATTAATTTAGAATTGGGTTCTTTTAGATTGAAAAGCCAAGTTAGAGGGCGATGGTCAGTTACTATCGTGAATTTACGGCGAATAATTCCTTTTCTATTGTGCTGTAGCGTTGCTCTGTTTCATTAAGAGTACGACTAGCGTACGCAATCGGTTTGTCTTGTCCTATAGTCCGTTGCGATAAAATTGCGCCAAGTGCTATGTTTGAAGCGTTAGTAGTCAGTATGAAGTCTCGTTAAAAGTTCGGGAATTGGAGAATGGGATCGTTACAGAGGACTTTCTTACAATTTTCGAAACTTTCAATGGAATTTTGGCTATGAATATCTTTTGCATTCTTCTTAAGGCACAGAGTCATGGGTTCAGTAATTTTCGCAAAGTCTTGAATGAAACGACGGTAGTAACCTAATAAACCTAAGAATGATTTGATTTCTTTTTGTGTTCTAGGAATTGAGAATCTCTGGACTGCCGAAATTTTGTCTGGATTGGGCTTGACGCCTTCAGGGGTTATTATATGGCCTAAAAATGAAACTGATTTTTGTAAGAATTCTGATTTGTCCATCTGAATTTTAAAATTCGAATTCCTAAGTCTGTCAAATACTTTGTTCAGTCTGGATACGTGCTCTTGTAGTGATGTACTGGAAATTATTATGTCGTCGAGGTATACTAAGCAAATGTCATTATTAAGTCCACGTAAAACATTGTCTATAACTCGTTGGAATGTTGAGGGGGCATTTTTCAATCCAAATGGCATTAGTTTGAATTCGTAGTGTCCATTGGGGGTGGAAAAAGCTGTCTTTGGTATGTCATGTTTGTTCATTTCAATCTGGTGGTAGCCAGAAGCTAAGTCTAATGTTGTAAAGTAATTTGCCCTGCCAAGCCTGTCGAGTATGTCATTAATGTTAGGTAGAGGGTATTTATCGTCAACTGTCTTGTCATTTAATTTCCGATAGTCTATAACTATGCGCCATTTCTGTTTGCCTGAGTGATCTAATTCTTTAGGAACTATCCATATGGGACTGCTCCAAGGTGAGGTTGACGGTTGAATGATACCTTGTTCTAACATTTTGGCCATTTGAGATTCAACTTCTCTTTTGTGAACTTCAGGGAATCTGTACGATTTAGTAAACACAGGGGTTTCGTCTTTAAGTTTGATTTCATGAGTAATTTCGTTAGAAAAGCTAAGAGGAATTTCTTCGCAATGGAATATATCTCGATACTTATAACAAAGCTCACTAATCATTTTTTTCTCTTCACTATTGTTATGATTCAACCTGCGATTTTTCAAGTTAGATTTCAAGAGGGAATCTTGTTGATTACTCAAGTTATTACTATAGTCGATTTTTTCAATGAAATTTATTTCGTTAGGGTCTAAAAGTTCTATATCAAATGGTTGGGTGATGTTAATCTTGAATGTTGTTGAATTTGGGTTCATTATTGTTGTGATTGCGAAAAAATTACGAATATTGACTACGGCTGTTGGTGATTGTACTTTGTTTCCGAAATCGATGAAATCTAGTAAACCTAATCCATTTTCGTAACAAACTGGGATTTTGAAAACTTGTTGGGTCATTGGCGGAACTATTAAGGTATGATAGCATTCATTAAAATGTTTAGAAGGCTCAGAAGTGTTTTCATCGAAAATCATAGGGATTTGAACATTTGGTGTAGTTAGAATTTTATTCTGAATATCGATGTTTGCATTCAATTGTTTAAGAAGATCCATACCTATTAGTCCTTCATACTTTTCGTTGAAGTCGAAAACATGGAACTTGTGTATCTCTTGTGTGTGAAAAATTCCAAAAATTGGAATGATCAATACTTCGTTATGGAAACTCACGTCATGTGACGTTTGAATACTAAAAGTTTCATTCGTTATGTAATTTGGATAAAATTGGTAGGCTAATTTTGGACTGATCAAACTTCGAGAACTACCGGTATCGATTAAGAATTTTGCTTGAATCTCTGGTATAAAAATAAATGGTAAGTCATTTTTCAAATGGTTGAGTTTAATAACTATGTTGGATGATTTTTGGGAACATCCTGTGAAAAATTTAAATCTTCATCAGATGAGATTTCTTTTTGAGGTGTGTCTAGCTGATCGAAATCTTGATATATATTTGGCTGTTCAAAATATTGGTCAGTTTGTTCACATTCCTGATTTCTTGGGTCATAAGGTTCAGAGTAATCGTTAGGGTAATCATATTGTGATTCTTCTATGTTATGGAGTTCTTCCGACACAAAATTTCTAGGACCCGTGCTTTGGAAATAATTTTGTCTATTGAAATTTTGTCTTTGATGTTGAACTGTCGGGTTTCTAGTAGAAACCGACATTGGTTCTGGTCGGGTATTAGGTGTCTGTCCCGTAGGTTTAAATGCATTACGGGGTGGACCAAATACTTGTCGATTTGTGAAATAATTTTGTTGACCTAAATTTTGTCTTGGTTGAATATTTATTGGTTGAGATGGGAATTGATTTCTTGGTGGATTATTCGGATTTTGATTGAGATGTTGATTAGAAAAATTTGGCCTTTGAAAGTTAGAGTTTTGGAAATTTGGTCTCGAAAAATTTGGGTTTGGATTAAAAGTTCGATTTTGGTACGAATTCTGGGGTCTAGAAAAATTCACATTATGATTAGGTTGATTAGGTTGTTTCTGAGGAAATGATAGAATTTGTCTCTGATTTAGAATGAAATTTTCCTCTTCTAAAACGTGTGAGATTGGTAACTCTAAGCTGTCAGGGTTTCTCAGTCTAACCATATCTTGAATTCTGCCAGTTAAACCACGAATGAATGTTTTAAGAGCAAGCTCGTCATAGTTTTTCATTCTGAAAGCTCTTTCGTCTGCAGGTAAATTCATTGAAATCAATTTTGATGCAATAGCACTTCGACTTTTTTGAATTCTCTGACCGAAAGTGAAGAATGATTCGTTTCTATGAGGTCTCATAATAATCATTTCTTGAACAAGACAATCTAAATTCCTTTGATCACCAAAACTAAGCCTGAGTAGATTTTTCAAAGCATTCCAATCTCTTATTTCTGGCCTACTACCAACTAAACTCAACGCATTTCCTGATAATTTTCCTATTACAGCCCTGATAAGAAAATCATTGATAGGATCGTTAAGATTGTCATTATTTTTAAAAGTTCTTACAAGATAGTCACAATGTTCTGGAAATATTTCCAAGGTACTTTCATCACTACCATTGAAATTTGGTATTGTATCGATGTATAATCTAAGTAATTGATAATTGACTGCCATTTCGTTTCTATCTATTCCTAAATTATTCAATCTTTCTATTATTTCCTCAATTTTTAAATCTTATGTACTTACTACTTTGAAAATTGATATAAAATTATTCTAATCTGATTATACTTCTGCCTAACTATATGTTCTGAAAATATTATATGCTCTAATTTTTTCTAGAACGCAATTGTATTCATCAATTCACTCCTATACTGAATTTTGTTGTGTTCACCAACAACTAGAAAAACATATGCACTGTTCTACTAGGGGTTTCGACTTATTTGCCACAGAAAATAATAAAAATGGGAAAAGGAATGAAAAGGATGGCTCACCTTTGAATGGTACCGTCTGTCTTCTTCCTGGACCCTGGGTGTTGATTTCTGAAGTCAGCACCGATTTTTCTGTTCGATTTTCACACCGAATTGTACGATTTTCGCCCGTGAAGAGTAAAACTCAAAACGAATACACGATGAGACGTCCTGGGCGTATCCTACCGACTGCGCCAGTTATTTTCGAAAAACCGGCAAAAGACTTTTTAAAAAACGTTTATTACGTTATCTGGACAAGGTATACGGTCAAAATCGTCGGAAAAATGAATTACACATGTATTTATAATGTCGGTTGATCTTGAGAGACGAAATATGAATCTGCTGATCTCGCTGCTTTCCGGGAAACGGCCTGGGAAGTGTTGTACCTAGCTCGGTACCGTGGGACCGCTCGATGTAACTCACTGTTTGAATAGATTGACATTGGAAGAAAATGTATTGAGCATGCTGATAAAATTATATGAAAATATAAACAAAGTTTATACTCACTCGTACATTCATTCATCTGGTAGGTAGGTATATAACAAAAAATATAAACGCTATTCTACATCACGCATTTCATTAAATGCATATCCGCGTTGTTATAATGGCCGCCCATCACACCGAATCAACTAAAATGTCCTCAGACTGACTCGAACCCCAGCTTGTCCAGCCAAAAAACCTCAAAAAATGATCCAACCTCCGAAAAAATCCGAAAGTTTTGAAACTTTGCACATTGATTTATAGGTACCTAGGGATGAATATACCAAAAGTCCTCATGAATATGATGCGAGCTCTAGCGGCAATTAGCGGAAACAGGGCACTTTTTCAGTTTTTCGTTAATATCTTGAGAACCGTTGGTCGGAAGTGGAGGTTCATCATATACCTAATCGAAGCTTATTGAATTCGCAACAAAAATGATGATCTACACTTTTTTTGTACTTCTGATGGTTACCGAGTTATAGGGGCTAAAGAAAGCGTTTTTTACAAATTCACACTGGCGCTGGTACAATATGGCATTTCTAATAAATTTTGACAATGGTTAACCAATTTCTCTGAGGATTGGGGAGATAAACTTCACAGTTTGTTCATGGTGTATATTAACAAGTGAAATACAAGAACATTCCACATTACTACCCTTAACAGCCATGCATGGTGTTGAAACAGAACAAGCATCCAGTGATGCTGATACGTCCGAACAGCACTCGTGAAATCCTTCACTTGTGACAAAGTAGCAATAGTCGGTGAAGATTTAGATCTTATTATTCTCCTCATGGCCTTAACCCCGACTGAACAAAACATATCATTTGTGAAAACGAGCCATGGCAAAGTAGGAAGGAAAGTATATTCAAACCAGCAATTGCAAACTTTGGGAATGAAGAACTTCTTGTGCATGCGTTCAGCGGATGCGATACGACTTCGGCTGCTTATCGAAAAGGGAAACTTTCCTGTTTCAAATTGTTGAAGAAGCAAGCTGTACTGCAAGGTATTGCTATTGTTTACAATCAAATTCAATTTTGGCTTGGGAATGAACTACCTCCTGTACAGTGGGGTTGGCAGTTGAAAAGCGATCGGCTGATCCCTGTGACAACAGAGGATCCAGCAGCACCTGTAGCTGTCCTCAACCTTATTTGTTGCAAATGTACAAGTGGATGTGGTAACAGATGTGGCTGTCGAAAGTCAGGAATAAGTTGTACAAGCATTTGTCACAACTGCCATGGCGAATGCTTGAATAGTGTTACTTCCACAATCGAAGAAGACTTAGATGACTCTGATGATCCTGATATAATATATCTTGAAGAAACAGAGCATTCAGTGCTAAATACAAACACTGAACATTTGGTACATGAAGATCAAAACACTGTGTTTGCTGGACGCTTAACCAGAAGTCAGGTGAGATTGCATATTTGTTTTTTTTTGTTATACATTCACCTTGCAATAGTGTACATAAATCTGTCGTCATGTTCATACGTTGTTTTACTGCTCGCTCACCTACTCTCTTTTATTTACATGTTCTCATTTAAATGATGGTTCTCTCACATCATCATCTCATGCATAGTTACTTCTTTTCAGCCAGCAAGTTCGAAAGCTGACCAAGATGAGCAGATTGTAGGGCCTTCTACTATGAAGAGTTGATAGATTTTTCTGGTCAGAATTTTCCTCGGAATATCCTCAGCATTTTTTTGTTCTTGTATTTCACGTATTGATATATATCATGTCCCTCTTTTCAAATAAAGCTGTGAAGTTAATTCCCTCAATTCTCAGAAAAACTGGTAAACCATTGTCAAATCTTATTAGAAATGCCATATTGTACCAGCGCCAGCGTGGATTTATAAAAAACGCTATCTTTAGCGCCCTATAACTCGGTAACCATCAGGAGTACAAGAAAACTGTAGATGATTATTTTTGATGCAAATTTAATAAGCTTCAATTATGTATATGATGAACCTTCACCTCCGACCAACGGTTCTCGAGATATTGACGAAAAACAAAAAAGGTGCTCTGTTTCCGACAATTGCCGCTAGAGCTCGCATCATATTCATGAGGACTTTTGGTATATTCATCCCTAGGTACCTTTAAATAGGTGTGCAAAGTTTCGAAACTTTCGGATTTTTTAGGAGGTCAAACCTTGTTTCGACTGGACTAAGCATAAAGCTTGTTCGATATATATGCGAAATCTGATTGGTGCAAATTGAACACGTGATCTCTTTCATTACAAGGTGATCAATATTTGTTAATGAGTGATTCCGATTCATCAACTTCGATCTGAAGCATTTATTCCTCAGAAATATTAGTTAACTGTTAAAAAATCAATGCAAATGGTGAATATGCAGAATTGCCATGATGTAATGATCGACAAATTATTCAAATATCAAACAGGATTATCGATAACAAAGGAATGAGTTGGTAACAAATCGTTTGTTTATTGTTGATGACTGTTATGGAAATGCTTGGGTAATATCTAATAATATTTTGTAACAACAAATGAATATTGTTGATATTGAACTAAAGAGGCCTAAATAAATCGATTTGTTACCTCAGTGTATTTCTGATTTTGAATAATTGTGTATATTTGTTGTTTCAGAAATGATCTGACTTTTTTTGCTAAATTCCCGACTATTCGTTTATTGGCAAGGTTCATTCTCTATTGTCAGTAATAACACAACTTAGGCAATCCTCCTCCCCCTACAGTTTGTTTCAATATGGCCCAAAAAAAAATTTTCCTTATATGATTGAGATTATAAACTTTGAAAATTCTAATTTTTGTAATGGGTCAATGTTTCTTCTTGTTGATCTAAAAACTGAAACTTTATGGAAAGAGTAATCAAACCATATCATTCCCAAACGATTCTCACATAACATGGAATAAACCGTTCCAGAATTGGACTAGGTAGTATTTTTAATAATATCTGATTTCTGAATCGGGTGAAATAGTCAGGTGGACCATTTCATTTGTCACGCAGTTTACATAAGGAGGACCTTCCTTTCAGTCAAAAATCACAAAAAGTGAATAGAATTTATAAACAACGAACTGAATAACATCATTCTCATTGGGCTAACCATATTTACTGAACGCTGGAATAATTTCCTTCTCTAAATGTTCAATTTGTTGGCAGCTTTACTTTAGACGGAATTGAAGGTGAATATTACAATCGCTCCTGCATTATTTGATTCCTCAAATGGGTTTTTATTCGTTTCTATTCAAAATATCAGGAACTGCTCCAGATATTCGCATTATCAGGAATTTTTTCTTGAGAAAAAAATATATAGTCTGACGAATGGGTCTCCCAAGCTTAGGGACATGAGATATATATGGTTTCACTCAAAATTATCGAACAAAAACGGTAACGGTTATGGAGAATACAGGATATTATATTGAAAAAAAATATAACCCTTACAGATTAACCCAGGCAACCAGATGACGAATGATCACGTCACTGTGACGTCCCTGATTGGTGAAAGATGACGCCAATTTCATGACGTTGCAAGGACGTCCTGTCAACGTCCATTTTTCCCAGACCTTCTCAAAACCATGAATACTTATATATTATTACGTTATTCGTGTGCAGAAGCGAACACGACACTATTTATTTTCGAACTGATTTATTTTAACTAAAGAAACACTAATTTATTTCGAACTTGTCACTACTATTTATGTAAAATATAGTCATTCCTGAAGTTAGCACTCATAATGCGATATGATGTGAAATCATAATATTTCGAAAATTCCTATTGGTTCAGCAGATATTTAACTGTCCCACTGGTCTAGGGACACCCTGTATATACAAATTAACGTTGAGGTATACCTATATTGCAACCGTTACTCTTATGACGTGGCAGTGACGTATCTATGACGTCTAAAAATCACGTCGGTGTGACGTACCAAATTGATAAGCTTCGTCATTCAGAATCTTTTTCTATAATTTGCTATTCAGATTCTCGTTGGGTGACAAAGAATGCATCAATATACATTATTCAACAAAGTGAAGCCAAATTCGCCAGCATCACTTTCATTGCTATCAAACTATTCTTTGTTTGCTTACATCTCGCCGTGACACACTACATAATTTTTTATACAAATACGAGTAACTAATTGCATTCTGATGAAGATGCGTAATGAAGGATAGCGCTGCTTGATAGAATATTTAATTAACATGACACAGGAGGAACGACCCACCAAGCAGACTCAACAATGCATAATCAATATCATATAATGTCATCAGAGACCAGTGGTGTTTATCACATCATGATATAGAAATCTTTCTTGCGTATCATCGCCAAATTCAATCGTCATTCTGACGTCATTATGACGTCAGTTGGACGTCACAGTTTGGTTAGTGAATGACGTCAATACGACGTGAGCAATATGACGTTATGAGGCTGTGACTTATTCACGTCATTATCACGTCATGCGACGTCAACTACTGACGTCACCTTGGTCAGTGAAGTGAAGTAATGAAGACGACACTGGAACGTCATATGGTTGCCTGGGAACTCATCGAACCACCATTTTGAGCGTAAAATATATCAAAGAATCGGCTATATCTTCGTAGTCGTTTGACATAACCCCATCATACCTTGTTGTGATATTATTAGTTTGGACTTTACTTCTCATCTTTTGGTCACCCCGTATTGATAAGTGCTGATCGCGTTACCTTCATTCATTCATTGTCAATGTCTGTCTTTCTTGTTAATGAAAACCTAATATCTGGGTCTATTCATTCTTAACTTCACAACAATTTTATTAACAAGAAAAGTTTGGTGATGGAAAAGTATTTGAAGCCTGAGAAGTTCAACACAAGTCCGGATTCTCCTAGTGCTGGCAAGGAATTCACTCACTGGTTGGAGACATTTGAGAACTTTGTTGATGTCTCTACTGAACAATTATTCGACGCCGATCGACTCAAGGTACTTGCGAATTCCCTCTCATACTCCGTTCATGAATATACAGCGGGATGTACAACATATAAAGACGCTATTAAAGCATTGAAAGACGTGTATGTGAAACCCAAGAGTGAGATATTTGCCAGGCACTTACTCGCTGTACGCAAACAACAACAGGGAGAAAGTGTGCAACAATATGTTCAAGCTTTGAAACTTTTATCCAGGGATTGTGACTTCAAGGCTGTTTCTGCAGAAGATCACAAAAACCAGTACATCCGAGACAGTGATTTGTGAAAAGCTCTGGTACTCTAGTGGAAGCCACTGCACCATTTGGAAGGATAAATATCGACTTCAAAGGACCAATCCCATCCGAAACCCGTAATTACTACATTCTTACAATCATAGATGAGTTTTCTCGATTCCCCTTTGCGTATCGATGCCATGATGTATCTGCTTCCACTGTGGTAACCTGTCTGAAGAATCTCTTCTGCTTATTTGGAACATCAGCTTTCGTACAGTGAAATTACAGTCAACAATGATGAGAGTAGAACGCCAGGCAGCATTGATACACTCGACACCCGTGACCAGGGCCTTGATTTGCTTGCTGGAGACCAAGAACTCAATGGACCTGCACATGAGGATGGAACGATTCAAATCAACTCCCATGACCTAGAGCCCCAATTTGAGAATATTTAAACCCTAGCTCGCAGCTCAATTTCAGCTTCAAGACCCCAACGCGTGAGGAACCTTCCCTTTTATCTCAGAGACTATGAAACCAACTGATTTGATTCATCTAGACACCTTCGTTATTGTTTATTTTTCGTTCTGATAATATTGTGAACTCTTGTTAGATATTGACATTTTGACAGATAGGTAACATTTCAAAGAATGGGGTGAATGTATTCGTATTGATAAGTGCTGATCGCGTTACCTTCATTCATTCATTGTCAATGTCTGTCTTTCTTGTTAATAAAAACCTAATATCTGGGTCTATTCATTCTTAACTTCACAACACCTGTATTGTAAGATTCATTTTCGAAATCTCTAAGTGATTGTGGAATGGAATTCAGAGGATGTCCGGTTTATAAAAATCAACGAGTACCCTGTTGATCATTTGTTCCGAGAACCCTGTATTGTCTGATGTAGCGAAACAAACTCATTTCAAATTATTTTTCAAATTTTAAGATCGGTACAAAAACAACTAAGCTAGAGGGAGGATATCTATGATGAGTCGCCCTGTACCTACCTACTATATGGGGTCATAATGTCTACATCGAATTGGAAATAGTCTGCCTCCTGCCTGAATAATCACGAACCCTGTGATCACGATAGATTGACTTCACGTCTGTAGAGTATGGGCTAACAAGAAGAAGAGGTGTCTCACAAAATTCCATACTCAACGTTCAATACCTGAATTATATTATTTATAGAAGATGTCAAGTAGGTAACATCGTGAACTTGCCTTGGATTTACAGTCTTCATCTTCTCCTTCACATTCCATGTTCTCTTGTAATTCAACTCCTCTGCAAATATCTTTATTTCCTGGATATTTGAACTTCCTGTCTCTCGTTTTTATTCCAGTTCCACAAGGTACGCTGCAACTCGACCATTCCGACCATCTGCCTAATTCACATTTCTCGTCATTTGGAGAGACTGTGGCCACTGAAAAATGAACCATCAAATGTATGTTATGAATATAAAGCGAATATATTCATTGATAATATTGAATATTGGAGATTGTAGTGATGTTGGATTTTGAGGTAATGCCTAATGATGAAACAGCAAGAATTGGAATCAATGAAACACCTAGTCAATCAATATTGGGTATTTGATAGGTGTAATATTAGGTCAATATCCAAAACGTTGCTGATTCAAAATCATGATGAACTCTTCTAGTCACAACGTGTGTCAGAATAAAAATCTTAGGTTAGAAAAACTGAACCTTATTCTCCCAATTCAATGATGACATGGAACTGAAATTGTGATGACCTTGGTCTTATATGGTACCTAGTACTAGTGTGTGTTAGTCACAAGAGTATCGGAAGGAGATATGTTGCATATCATGAAGAATGGCTGAAAGAATAACTGGACTTCAGGTTACTGATGAGGATATGATATCCGAAATGAATTCATATTACCTGTTTGTGGGAGATATAAGTCCCATATCACTGATACGAATGATTTTTTTGGAAGTTCCAAGCTCATCAAGATCAGAGTTCAAAAAAGTATACTTCTCCTATACATTTCAATTTTCATTTCAATACTGAACATATCGGTTAGTTCTATTTTTATATCATAATACATCATATTATTCTATTCGATTTGAGAGATGATGTCAATTCTCAATTTCAGAGGATTTTGATTTTTCATGCTCTATTTCTGGATATTCAACAGATATAATTCGATGTTCGACGTGGCAAAAAGCTAGGAAAGTAGTTGTTTTCTGTTGAATATTCAAAATTATATTATATGCATATCTTTATATGAAGGAGAATGCAAATTCTCTATTTCAGAAGATATCGTGTGTGTTCAATAGATGTTATTCAATATTCGTCGTGGCATATAGCCAGGAAAAAAGTAATTTTTTGTTGAATGAATATATATATATATATATATATATGGGACTGCAGCAAAACGAAGGTGTACTCTTATAACATTATATTTCCAATATTTCGACAATGAATATTGTCATCATCAGGGAGCTACAATTTATGAAAATTTCTTTAAAAAGGCTCTGTAAAATTATCAGTAAAGTACTTACAATGTCAGTGAGAATGGTCGTTGAAAGATGGTAACAGTAGTAGATTCACAAGACACATCAGTAATTTGTAATACATTAGAACAGTGGACACAAGATCAATTTAAAATTGTAAAAGTTGAAAATAGTAAAATGAGATTTATTTTTTATTGAATTTTATTTATAAATTTTTTTATATTCGGCTGCCGAAACACATGGCCATGCTCGAATTTGTTGAGAGCATGGCCATGTGTTTCGGCAGCCGAATATAAAAAAATTTATAAATAAAATTCAATAAAAAATAAATCTCATTTTACTATTTTCAACTTTTACAATTTTAAATTGATCTTGTGTCCACTGTTCTAATGTATTACAAATTACTGATGTGTCTTGTGAATCTACTACTGTTACCATCTTTCAACGACCATTCTCACTGACATTGTAAGTACTTTACTGATAATTTTACAGAGCCTTTTTAAAGAAATTTTCATAAATTGTAGCTCCCTGATGATGACAATATTCATTGTCGAAATATTGGAAATATAATGTTATAAGAGTACACCTTCGTTTTGCTGCAGTCCCAAATAATTTAAGAGTTTTTAACCAACTAGTCAGCAAAAGACTACCCTTCTGCTTCTATATATATATATATATATAGGTATATAGGGTGTTTTATACATTTCGCCCAATTTTTTGTGAGGACATAACTTACGAACCACTTTGTATATTCTTCTGCAATTTGGTACACAATTCCTTCTTTTTCTACCAAAGCGACTCACCTATCAGTCACGAAAAAAATCCAGGTCCGAATAAACAAAAGTTGATAATATTCCTAGACACCATAAAGAACACCCTGTATTTTCGATTTCTCAAAATCCGCTTACATATTTGGAGAGTGCAAAAAGAGCTGAACCGAATGGTATACTTGTCATTTTACCGCATGCAATTGCACTAAGGAATTTCTGATTCTGAATTAGAGGTTTCATGCATTTGGATAGGTAAAAATAATATGTTTTGAGTTTTCCCAATCGAATAACAACACTTATCAAGAAACCACCCAGTATATTCTTTTGGACTCTGGTACACGAGTTCTCCTTATTCTACCCAAGCGCCCCACCTATCATCCACGAGAAAAACCCAGGTCCGGATTAACAAAAATTGAGCATATTTCTGGACGCCAAAGAGAACACCCTTTATTTTCGAATTCTCAAAATCCGCTTACATATTTGGAAAGTGCACAAAGAGCTGAACCGAATAGTGTACTTTTCATTTTTCCACATGCAATTTCACGAAGGAATTCCTGGTTTCTAAATTTCTATGCATTTGAATAGGTAGAAATAGTATGTTTTGAGTTTTTCCAATCGAATAATATCATCACGAACCACTCAGTATATAATTTTTTGAATTTGGTACACGAGTTCTCCTTGATCTACCCAATCCCTTCACCTATCATTCACGAGATAAGTCCAGGTCCGAATTAACGAAAATCGATAAAATTTTTGGGCCCCAAAAAGAACATCCTGTATTTTCGAATTTCCATAATATGCTTACATATTTGAAAATTGCACAAAAAGCTGAATCGGATTGTCTACTTTTCATTTTCATACGAATGCTATTTCACTACTGAATTTCTGATCTTGAATTTGGGGTTTTATGCATTTGGATAGGTCGAAATCGAGGTAAAATGGAAAGTTTTGAGTTTTCAGAATCAGAAATCGATAAGTGAAAGATCATGCCGGATATTGAAAAGTACACAATTCGATTCAGCTCTTTGTGAACTTTCCAAATATGGAATCGGATTTTGGGAATTCGGAAATACTGGGTGTTCTTTTTTGGGCCCAGAAGATCATAATTTTTCGTTAATCCGGACCTGGATTTTCATCGTGACTGATAGGTGAGTCGCTGGGGTAGAAGAAGGAGGACTTGTGTACCGAATTCAAAAAGAATATACTGGGTGATTCGTGATAGTTTTTGTTATTCGATTGGGAAAACTCAAAACATTCCATTTTTACCTATCCAAATGCATGAAACCTCATATTCAAAATCAGAATTTACCTAGTGAAATAGCAATAGCGAAAAAATGGAAAGTACATCATACGATTCAGATTTACATGCACTTCCCAAATATGTGAGCGGATTTTGGAAATTCGAAAATACAGGGTGATATTTTTGGGGTTCAGATATATGATCAATTATCGTTGATCCGGTCCTAAATTTTTCTCGTGACTGATAGGTGAGTCGCTTTGGTAGATGGAGGCGAAATTGTGTACCAAAGTCCAAATGGAAATGGAAATGTGTGGTTCGTAAGTTATGTCCTCACAAAGAATTGCACAAAATTGATAAAACACCCTATATCTTGGATATAAAACTTGCGAGACCCTACAAATATGGTATATTCAGAACCACCTTGATGAGCTCTTCTCACTGTTGGAGTTTTTTCGTTTCCCAATGGGGCACCCTGTATACAGGGTGAGTCATAACTATTGGGCCATAGACTAAGGGCGGATTGTTTGGACCAAAATATGGCGATAGGCCTAAATATGCCTTCATAGAAATATTGCTGTGGAAAAAGATACAGGGCGTTCAAGTTGACTTTTTATTTTCGTTTTTTGCCAATAATTTCACTCCCAGCCAGCACAAAGAGGTCCTGAAGATATCTTGAAGAAATCTTAATAGGAAATTGTGATGCCTTTTGTAACTTCTTTGAGAGATCGCCGAGAGTGCTATATCTACGCCAAATGTCCGCAACCTAGGCTGAGCTCAGCGAGGTCTTGAAGATATCCCACGCAGAAATTCTCATACAATGCTCTCAGGCGCGCACTTTGAGATATACGCTTCAATCGCCATTGGTGAGAACTGGAAGTGCTCGCAATCATGAGCTATTTGAGAAATTCGCATACATTGCTTTGTGACGAGGACATTGGGAGATTCGCATCAATTGCTTCTGGCGAGGTCTTTAAGTGCTCGCGACTACGAGCTGTTTGTGATTTTCGTACGCATCGCCTTGTGAAGAGGACTTTGAGAAATTCGCATCAATTACTAATAGCGAACTCTTCAAGGGCTCGCAACTATGAATTGTTCAAGAATCCGTGCACATCGCCTTAAAACGAGGCCTTTGAGAGCGATATTTGCATCAATCGCCACATGATCGCCACTTATATGGTAAAGTGTTCAATTTTTGGGAAGTCATTGATGGTTATCAGCAGTCTCCTGTCGGCAAAGCCCAACTAGCGCCAGCTATATTGTTTGGGGTGGTTAAATTTACTGGATATTTGTTTCAGCGAAAAAGATTGAGTTACCAAACTTAGAGTTAGAGCAACGTAATAGAGGCTTCAATTATATATATTATTCTAGAGCAAGACATTGATCAAGTAAACTTTATCACTTGAAAACATCTTCGAGGAGTTGGCCGGGTGTTCTTTAAAAAAAAAGGTCGTCCGATATCTACCAACGAATTTGAGGTAGATATTTGATTCTCGATCCCACCTGAATTGGAACATTTTTGTCTTTTTCGTCAGAGCAGATAATTAATTATCATTAGTTTACTGCAAAATTCGAAATAACATTCCATAATGACGGAGAGATAATAATATGACCTGTTGAACACATTTTCCGAGACAGTAAGAAAATCTAGTTTCTAGTATACAATTATTATTATCATAGATTAATGACTCCCATTTCATGTTGATACTGGGTGTCCCAAGTTATCGTATAGGTACCGGCAAAAAATCACTTACTCGACAATTAAGATGAACAAAAAATAGTAAAAATGCTTTCAATGACATCAGAGAACTTTCTTCATGACTCAAAAAAAAGTTTATTAGATTTGACAGCCCCCTGGTAGCAACTTCTCAATTCTTATTGAATGGACTCCCTGTATATTGTTACTTATTGAAAATTGACTATCATCCTATTACGGGAATGA